TTTTCTCCTTCTAATTATATTTTCAAGTGGGATTTGTTGTGCGTAAAAAACATCCTTTTACGTGTGGAGGCTCTGGGGTTCTCGGTCTCCAGGGTGCTGTACCATTCTTTTCCACAAAGCTCTGAATAAACAAGTTCCCTCCATTTTTTCTCTCTCTCTCTCTTGCTCTCTTTTCTTTACAAAGAGTTGTAGAAACTGGCAATTTCAGTTTTAACTGTTTGCTCCCTGGGCATGTGTTCTAGATTACCTCTTACAGTATACTTTTGGTATGCTGCAGAATACACCATTTTTCTTTTTTTTTTTGGCCATTTTTTTTAGATATATCTACAGTTGCTGGCACTGCCTCATACAGTTTGAGTATCTTTGTGGCAACTCTATCAAAACAGTTTTAGTATTATTATTCCTATTATTATTACTACCTTTTTAAACAGGAATTAAGTATAGGTTGTTTTCAATCATGTCCTGGTGACGAGCGAAATTCAGATGGCGGGCAGAAAGTAAAAAACTGAATTGGAGACATAGAGGAAAGTCTGTATGTTTGCGATTTATAGCATATTGCAAAGGACATACACTTGAAGTCAGAATTATTAGCCCCCTAAATTATTAGCCCCCAGTTTATTTTTTCCCCCAATTTCTGTTTAACAGAGATATTTTTAACACATTTCTAAACATAATAGTCTTAATAACTCATTTCTATTAACTGATTTATTTGATCTTTGTCATGATGACAGTAAATAATATTTTACTAGACATTTTTAAGACACTTCTATACAGCTTAAAGTGAAATTTAAAGGGTTAACTAGGTTAAATTAGGTTAACTAGACAGGTTAGGGTAATTTGGCAAGTTATTGTATAATGATGGTTTGTTCTGTTGACTATCGAAAAAAATAGCTTAAAGGGGCTAAACATTTTTCCTTAAAATGGTGTTTAAAAAATCTATAACTGCTTTTATTCTTGCCGAAATAAAGCAAATAAGACTTTTTCCAGAAGAAAAAATATTATCACACATACTATGGAAATTTCCTTGCTCTGTTAAACATCATTTGGGAAATATTTAAAAAAGAAAAAAAAAAATCAAAGGGGGCAAATAATTCTAACTTCAAATGTATAAATAGAAAATAACCACATATGTTGGGTATGATCCTTATATCATGAAGAGGGCTGAGTTTTCTATTAAACTGAATATATATTTGCCTGTCATCGAGGCAGTGTATACTGTATGAGTTATTACGTTACATAAAAAAATACTTCAGTGAAATGGTATGGTGTTTGGAAGCAAACTATAGATAATTACACGAATTAAACTGTCGTTGTAATTATATTATTGCTGTGGTAAAACATTACTGTAGTAATAAACAAATTATTCAATATGCGTCAGTAATCTTCACTTTAATTATATACCATCACAATGCACCACAGTTTACACTATTACAGTTTATCAGTTTACTAAACTACAATATTCTGTAGCATTTATTAATAAAGAGTTGTACACATTATACACTTTACTATGTTGTCCAAAAACATGGTTATTATAAATTACTATTTTTCATCTTCACTATTTTCCAAATACTTTTTCCATGCGGATATAACAGATGAAAGCATACAAAAGTGTGGACGCATAGACTACATTATATTATTTATTTATTGTTGTAAGGGGGAAGGGTGATGTTAAACGAATTATCGAGTTCAAAATAAGTTTGTACACATGGATGTATTGAAAAAACGTTCATTACATGCCCGCTTTTGTTCCGTTTATCAGCCAGTTTCTTGAACTGTCCCTCCTTTATGAGCAAAACTTTTGTAAGTCTAATAAATCTGGCATTTCTTTTTTTGGCCAATTTAAACAACTAAAAACAATATAAAACTCAAACTTTTTGACGTTCTGATAGTGATTCCTATGTAGAAGAATCACTTCCATCCCTGCATTTGAATTCCGCGCATCATCAGTGACATCATGAGATAACAACCTATGTATCTTGACATTTTTTTAATAGCACTGCATAAATAAAATTCAATTAAATTCCTCTTTATTTCTATAGCGCTTTTACAGTGTAGATTGTGTCAAAGCAGCTTAACATAGAAGTTCTAGTAAATTGAAACTGTGTCAGTCCAGTTTTCAGAGTTGAAGTTCAGTTTAGTTCAGTTCAGTGTGGTTTAATTTTCACTGCTGAAAGTCCAAACACTGAAGAGCAAATCCCTCCAGAAGTCCCAAATCAAGCAAGCCAGTGGCGACAGAGGCAATTGAAAAGAGGACCATGTTTACGTTTAGTTACAACAGCATGTCAGTAACAACTGTTGGAATTCACTTACACTTATTAAAATAAAAATATATAGATTTTTTCATACATTTATTCACTCATCTAACCTTTTTTTAAATAACTTGACCTTTATGGAATTGGTAGTTAAACATTCATGCATGATTAAGTTTCTTATTTTATTATTCTTTTTTTCTTTTGCTCGACTACTTTTTTTTTTTTTTGCATAGTAGGTACATAATAGTAAACAACCTGTGAGAGCAAGCTCTTTCATTTCCAAAGGTATACTTATTTGCTTATTTAATTTGTATTACTCAGTCAGCTATCAGTAGGAATTAAATATTATTAATCAGGAATAGCGCAATACTGCACATATTCATAACTGTGCATTTAAAGAGCACCTTTTTCACCCCTTTTACATCAGATGAACAGGACAGTGATAGAAACAGACACTGATGAACCAGAAATACAGCTCATTAGTCAAACATACTAAGTTAGTTTATTTTTTGTACTTGTGATGGTGTTTATTCAAGCCTTTCTGAAATGATGAGTCCTACACGAATGCCATTTGCAGTACACACACACACACACACACATATTAACGTTTACTGACACCATTCGTCCGTGGTGGTTAGAAAATCACAGAGTTGGAACAGATATTTTAATATCAGTTTCTTTGCAAAAAATGTTCTGTGGACATTAGGGTTGGGCTGATAGACGATGCCGTTGTCCATCGCCGATGGCCAATAGACAACACGATGCTGAGACGGCATCCCCGATCTTCCGCCCTGCCCCCGTCGCAAACCCGCTCGCGAAAAATACACACTCAGGCCCCGTTTACACTAATATGTCTTAGTATTAAAATGGCATTTTAGAATGAAAATGATCCACATCCACACCGTGTTTTACCTAGCATTTCTGAACAGCCCTACGTCCGCTGAAAGCGCACACACACACACACAGCCAAACACACACTGTCATACGCTCGTAGCTCTAGAGAGCAGTGCACGTCGAACAGTTTATGAAGCATGTACCGCTGATCGCGTCTCACTATAATTGTTAAACGTGATATTTAATTGATCTTGTCTCAATCTGACGACTCTTTGGCCTTGTGAATCTATCAGGTAGCGTGTCACAGTACACTGCTTCAGTCTTTCACTTTCACACTTGTATTTAGTAATTTTAACGAAAACCTCTGATACTGTTGGCTGTGCACCTTTTTTACCGACCAACCTCCCCACGGAAAAAGTAATTGACAGGTGGTAATTTGTGTGCAACTTATCTTTATTTATTTATGATTTGTTTATGGGTAAAACAAAGACCATGCGGGTCATTTAGTTGAAACGGTAGTCTACAATTAATTAATTTGTTATGACTTAATAAATGATTCATAAATAATTAGCTCACCTCTGCCTATGACGACAATGCCATCATCCATTACGATGTTTCACATTAGACATCGTACGATGCCAAATTGGTCGACATCGCCCAACCCTAGTGGACATGTGTATACATGTTATTATAAAAACATGGCACCTGTCAATCAGTTTGGTGGGCGGGGAAAATTACGCTGCGATGGGCCTCAAAATAACTGGGAGTCCTATTTTTACATCAGGAAATTTAAAAACAAGAGACTTGTGTTTCTATCACTCCAATATGATTGTGGACACACTATACCTACACAGTTCTTTCCAAAAAGCTCACAAAAGTTGATTTTCATCATATCTGCCCTTTAAAACTGCTGTCTTTAGAACTATTATTATTTTCTTGGCTCTGCATTGCCATTACTGATACTCTCCTTTTTTTAGATCTTTTCAGAAAAGATGCCGCAGTCTTCATCTCATATTTTCCTCCCACACTAATGTTACTTTTGTGGAGGCACCCTGTGATAAGAGGCAACATCTGTTTTGTTCTATAGTACAAGTAGGCCCTGCATGGGGCTGAGTGTGTGCAGGCCCCGGCTCGCCATTGTTCCGTCCACTTCTCTTTATCCCCATGTCTGCTCCATTTGCCACATACCATCCGCCCAACAGCTGACACTTTCTCTCTATTATACACCTAAGCTTAATTGTCAATAGGATTTCGCTCCCTTTTTTTTTCCTCCTCCTCTTCCCAACTTCAAGGAGAATGCTCTTATTTGATTTCATTTTGATTCGCTGGGGCAGTGACAAGCGAACAGGCACACACACACACACACCTCCCTCACTCGGCAATATAAGAGAGGTGACTGACTGGCTGTTGTTGGACTCAGAGATCTCAAGTTAGCTAGTGCACGTGTGTGGACAAAAAGACACTTCTTAGCTGCTATTGCTACCGCTTCTTTTTTTGTTTGTTTGTTTGTTTGAGGACTATGGATTTCCTGTCTCGGGTAATACAACATTTTTTATGCCTATAGTGTGTGTTAATTAAAATATTGTGGTGGTTTTTGATTGCGGTACCTACCTTCTGTTTTGCCTCCTTGTTTTTGTTTGCTCTGAGGAATGTGTCTAAGGAAGCCAGTGACTGTGTGGTGTCATTTAAATGCTCAGTGACAGGCCTTTGGCCCATCGCTTTCATGAGCTGTGCTCACTGAATTGTCATGTGGGGTTGTAGGCCTGGAGAGCGGATGAAACGTAACGAAATGAAGAACATCTGATAAAACCAGCTGCCTTTGTAACATGGGACTGTAGCGACTGCATGTTTCCCTGTGATCTGATGCCTGATTGTGTGCCTTACTCTCTTTCTCTCTCTCCCTTTCCCGCACAGACCTCATGGAACAGAGACCATGATGACACAGCTTCTACACGCTCTGGCGGCACACCAGGACCATCCAGTGGAGGACACACATCGCACAGCGGCGACAACAGCAGCGAACAAGGTAAGGACATCATCTGATGCATATGCACAGTCATTGTCATCGGGACCTTAAATGACCTCATGTTATATACAGCTTTAACAATTATATAAATAAACATGACATGTTGATTTTGAAAGAGACCTCGTGATGATGCAAGAGAAGCTAGCTGAGCTATGTAGAAAATAGGAGTTGCTTCATAGGGATCAGTTATTCAGTTGGCACAGATTGCACCTGACCAATCAGAGTCAAGTAGTGCAGTGTAAAGGCTGATTTATACTTCTGCGTCAAACGTATGCTACGCCGCTGACGCATAGCCCTTCGCCGCGGCCATTGGCGTCACTGACGTGCACCTCTCAAAAAATGTAACTACACGTCGCAAAGACGCAGAGCGCAACCTCTGTGATTGGTCGGCTTGGTAGTGCTGACGAGTCTGGGCGGGACCGAGAGCTGCGCGAATGGCGCGAGCGATTGTTTACAAGTGTGGAGTCCCGTGAAGGAGCTCCGGATGGAAAGTTTTGTTTTGTGTTTACCTCATAGTTAAAGTTGTTGCATGTCCGCCGGTTCCTGCCTCAAAATGAGTGAGTTTGAGCCACTTGTACATCCAGGAAGTGTTCAGGAAAATCAAAAAAGCAGCGAAGAAACTCGACACTGAGAAACATTTACACCTCACTGCCAACTAGCGTTTCGGAAGTGTTAATGCAGACCAACAGAGGCCGCGCGCAGAAGTATAAATGCACAGCTGCGCGCGTTGCATGCGCCGTGAGTTACGCCGGTCACTTGACGCAGAAGTATAAACCAGGCTTAATAAGGACGTTTCAATGGAAATGTCACTGTCTGACTATGCAGATGTGTCCAGCCCACTATCTGAACCCGAGCATGTGTATAGAGAGAGTTAAAGCAGATGTTTAGGCCGCTTGGCCGGTGGTGTGGCGTAGGTCCATCAGCTGGTTGTGATAAGACTGCATTAATGAACCTTTCTCGGGGCCCATCTGGACAGGGTGTCTGAGGAAAACCACTGGTGATGACAGTCTAACAAAAGAGATTTTACACTGATGGAACTTTATACGTTCTCTTATATTCCAGTCCAAGATTTTTGGAATTTTCAAAGAGAAAAGATCTATGTTCTGAAAACACTCTTCTTTGTGGGATTTCCCTCTCAAAGGGATGGAAGCTGATGAAAGCTGACTTTACTCTCTTTGTCGTGTCAGTGAAATTCAAACTGCAAACAGAGTTCATAGCTGATTGGCTGTTTGTGTGGATTAGCCAATGAGAATTAGTGCAGGAAGTGGCGAATGGAGGAGGGTTTCAAACAAACTGTAGGCAAAAAGCAACTTCATTTATTATTGAAAGGGATGTCAAGGCAGCAGTTTGAGGGCTGCACAGCCAGCAGGCAAAGCAGGATGAGAGCAGAAAGGACCACATTATGTTCCAGATGACTGAGCAACGATTTATATACCAGTGCCGGGTTTTCACCCTCCACAGTGAGGGAGAGCAATAAGAGAGAGGCCAGCCCAGCCGAGTCGGTCAGATGGCTGATGACTAATGGTCCGGTTGCTCGCCACACTCTGATTGGATGCCTTAATGAGCACATTTTGTGCAGAGTTTGGGCTCCTGCTTGCGGTGACCTTTGCTCTTTATTGACCAAAGTGACACGTCATTTTTCACATACTTCCAATTATCGCCAGGCTTTTAATGTCCACCCCCTACTTCCTCCCCTCGTGTTCCCTCACCCCAGTGTTTTGGATGAGTGTTTGTTGTGTCGTCCGTTAGCTCCATGAGAGGCTGAGCTATGAACCTGAACGTATGCTGAGGTTGTGCAGCGTAAACAAAGGAGCCAAGCCCTTCAGAACTCTACAGTCTTATTTACACCAGTGGAGGTTTAGTACAAGTTTTATGCTAATGTGGGTTAATTGCTGATTGTGTAAAGCAGTGCTGCTAACCGCATTAGCATGTTCTGTAAGGAATGACTTCATAATCCCAGTAAGACCATTATTCTGCTGTTGGCAAAGAAACTAATGTCCCCAACTGGTCCCGTCTCTTCACAGACTCCCCTCTGTGTTTGTTTCCATATGTTCACACTTGCTATCTATTTAATAAATCTGTACAACCACTATGATTCACGGAATGAGAATGGCTTCTATGCAGCAGCAGCAGCAACATTATAACACAGCCATAATCCTTCAAACTGCACAGGAACTTTGTATCCGCACGCATAACATGGTACATCTGTTACCCATCAATGTAGAGATTGGCACCATAGCTGATGGTTCTAGTGGTTGCCATCCACACCATGTTTTCCATACCGCACCTAAATAGCATCTCAGTACGACTGAGGACAGCATTTTTCTTGTTCATCATTCTGTGCTCTTCAAAGTGTAGTTTCCCCCTTAAGGGGGAAGGATAAAGGCCGCTCCTCCCTCACTGCAATCGCAGAAACTTTCCTAGCGGAGTCCAGCAGAGACTCAGCCCGGCCCATCTCTAATTAGATCCCGTTTATTAGTGTAGTAGTGCGTGCGTATGCACCCGCCTTTGTTTAAAAGCCGCCGTCTTGAGGGACATCTTCTGAAATTGTATCTCGAAGCCATTTTTTTTTTCTGAGCATCCACTCTCAGTGGGTAAAAAGAAAACAAATCATATTATTAATACTATGGACTGCTCTATGCATTGTTCACTCTGGACTCTTGGCAAGACCAGCGCCCACCCAGATTAAACAAGACACCCTTGGGCTGCAGTAAGAATGAAGGCGTTATAAACCCCTACCAAAAAAGGGGGCAGAGCACGTAGAAAATGACACGCTCTCACATATACAGGGATCACGCTGAGTGTTTTGAAAGGCTTTGGGTTTCCTCTGCCTCATCAAAGGGTCTGGAAACAAGGTGATGACTACAGGAGTCAGATATGTATCAGCAATTACCAGGACCCATTTGCGAAAGGCCCCATGTGTGCCAAGTCAAATAGTTCCTGTGAGGCTCTTGTTATTGTCTGCATAAATTTACATGCAGAGCCATGGATTCCAAAAGTGTACTGCAGTAAGACTGTGAGAGCTCAAATGAATCACTCAAAGTGGGTTAAGAAGTTTATTTACTTCGACCGAACTTGACTGGAATGACTATTGACAAATGTAACCATTCAGCTGTGGTGTAAACAGGTCAATGTACTGTACAGAAAAATCCCTCGGAAACTAAGATGTTTGACAAATTTGCAACAGTTCGGCTATGAACAGACTTATTTGTCGGTGTTACTTGTGTCAAGAAAAGCTGGAGCTGAACTTGAATCCTAAAACTAATCATTATTTTGTTTGATTGATTGTGGTGAGTGCTGTTGTCATCATTGACTTAATGGTCAGTTTGCTACAGGCCTGTGTGAAGGTCAGTCTGAGCAAGAGCTCTCATTGGCTCTTGGCCACCATCTCTGCTCTGCAATTGGCGGATATCTGAGACTGACCGGCAGACATGGCATTTGACAGGATGCCAGCGAACCTCTGAAGTTGGATCCGCCTACCAAGCCCCCGCCTTACATGTTTGTCAAAGTCACCCGTTAATTGCAACGATTGTCCAGCAGACTGGAAGAACCCAGCCCCTTTCTCCCTCTCTCTCGCTCTCGTTTTGTCTCTGAGTGCCGCCTGCATGCCTTTGCATTTCTCATAAGCTATTTTCAGTGCTCTCCTCAATTGCTGAGTGCACTACAATGCTGATCACTTTCTTTTTTGATTTTACAGCAGGGTCCTGGCTTTGTTTAGCTCAGTCACTTTGAGCTGTCTAGATGCCCACTCTTTGACTTTGTTTTTTTTTCCTTCTCCTTTTAATCGTGCCACTGTGTGCGAGTGTTGTGCTTCAAAGAGCAATAGGAGCTCTATGTTGTCATTCAGGTGTAGTCAGTCAGCGGTTGTTCCTGCCACGCTAGATTCTCCTCTGTGCATGCAAAAGTGCTGCACACAGGAGGGGGAGGCTGAACGCTTTCTGCGCTCGCTGTGTATCAGTAGCAGCACGTTGGTGGAGTAATCTGGTTAAATCAGAGGCATAATGGCTGATAAAAGGTGTGCGGTTTTTATAGTGCAGGGATCTAAGACCGGCACCGGGCGGCCCGAGCAGCTCCTGCTGTTTTCCTCTCTCATTCACATCACACATCACATCATACACACCCACAGAAAGAGCAGAGAAGAAAGACAGCGCATTGAGAATGCAAGGGATCACAGGAAGGAGAGCAATGTGCCAATTCCAGTAAGGGCAGGTAAGTGTTTGGGAATGCACATGCTTGACAGAAAGTGCAAAATCAAAGAGCGTTCTTTTATTTCACACAGCATATTCTCTCTTACAAGTTCCTATGTATGATGCTACCATGAATATCACATTGTGATGGCAAATGGCTAAACTTAGCATTTATGACAAAGGCATAGAGATGCCAGCCAATGTCAGTAGGGAGGCTGACGGAGCTGTGTTATTTACACTTTTTATTAGGTTACCTAGGGTGAAGGATACAGCTTGGGGAACCTAGGGGAATCTGAACCACTGGTGTATTTATGACCTCACTGAATCTCAGTAGCGATGGCAAAGCTAACAATCTACCGCTTCTTTCTCCGAAATTGATCAGTGCCAATGACTTTATGACCCCTCTCCTGATAAGACTGTGTGTACACACAGCAGTCACGTGTTGAAAAAAGGGGAAACGCCACTGGTTCCCACACCAAGGGGTAGTTTGCCTTTGGGATTAGGTTGATGTCCTGTGTCATGTGGGAAAAAGGAGAGTGAAAAGTGAGAAAGTGCAAGCAAACAAGCTGCCCCTCCCCTCTTTTCCCCATATATCAGCTGTTTCTTCTGCTTTCCTAATCATTGCTTTTAACTAGCTTTCATAGCCTGATTGAGCACCTTGTCTCTGGGCAGATAATACTCATAAAGCTGGTATGATAAAGTGTCACTGTTGTGTTTGCTCTTCTGTTTGCTCTGGGATTTAACTACTGCTGAAGTACTTCTCTTCTCCCCCGACCCATGACCATGTGAACTCTGGGAGATGACATCTTCCTC